CTCCCCAAACCGTTCCACCTTGTTAATCATTTTTTTTCGTGTCGCTTTACAGGAGCTGGACGAGAAGAGAATAAAGAACATGCGGAACTACATGCTGAAGTCCGTGGAGATCGAGCGGGCGGTCGCGCCGATAATCGCGCAGTGTTTGGACGGCATAGAAAAAGCGGCGAACGAGATCAACGAGAAAGAGGACACGATGATGGTGATCGAGCGTTACAAGAGCGGCTTCCAGCCGCCCGGGGACTTCCCGTTCGAGGATCTCTCCGTGGCGAAGACCTACGACAGCAATAGTCAGTTGTCGCAGCCGGTCATGCAACCGATACACAACCACCTGACGGCGAAGGGCACCGTTTCCGGTGGCAAGATTAAGAAGAGGGTCGGCCTGTTCGGCATATTCAGTAGCAACAAGGTACATGTTGTTGGTTCGCGGCAACCTGGACGAGATCTAGCCGACTTGACACTCCTAGGCGTGTGCGTGTTCGCTCTATGCCGTCAGGATCGTCCGTGGCTTGTTAACCGGGCGACTCGTTAGTCAGGGCTGCGCTCTTTATCTGTTGAAACAGAGAGGATCCTCAGACGGATACGCGTTACTGGCGCTCTCGTTTCGATCGTGGATCATGATACGAAATCGAATGGAAATGAAAAAGGTTTATGGAAACATTAAACGCGGCCCTGTCTTAGTCGGCGAACGCGATAGATAGAAAGATCCGGCGAGTCGACTCGTCCCCCCCGGTTAACAGGTTAACCCTGGAAAGATCAAGAGGAATTTCTCTATAAAGATTCATTCGAGATGTCGTTGTTAACGCATTATCTACCGGCAGTTATTGAAACAGTTTATCGAAGACTAATAATCAACGCTTAAAGATTTCTCAATAAATCTTCCGATAGCAATTGCAATCCTGATTCAACAAAATCATCGTGAGTAACACAATCTAATTCACCTTTCCTTTGGGAGTGTTGTTCAAAGAGAATTAGTGAACCGCGCGCCGAGATATAATACGATAGCCGTCGGAAAAGCCTATTTAATAGTCGTTCGGTAAATAAAGTGTTAAACGAGTATCGTCGGAGAGCCTGTCTTTCCAGGGTAGAGCGATCAACTCAGAAGGAAAATATAATCACCGATTGCACGAAACGATTCTCCCCGACACCCTCTTTGTTTTTCTTTTTGTACTTGCATCCCCATCGGTCGACAGGCCTGCAATATGCACACAGACTTTATGGAAGCATGAACATGACACCCTCTGCCATTCGCGGTCTTCTGGAATACTTCTACGCCTCTCTTCTTCTTCCTCTCTCTCTCTCTCTCTCTTTCTCTCTCTGTTTGTCTTCCGGCAATTCCGTTCAGCACTCTCGTGCACGAACATACACGCGCGCACGCGACACTGAGATCGGTTTAGACGCAACGTTAAGCCTAGCCCAACGAAAGAGACAATCGAAAGATGAATATACGAAGGTCTAGATTTATTAGTGGAAACTACTAGGCTAATTGTCTCTGAGTCTGGGCTAGGCTTCAGCCGACGACGGTCGGGGCCACGCACAACTTACCTTTTCTTCTGTACTTTCTATTAATTTGGTGGATGGTTCGATCTGCCTGCGGTGTCTCTTGTTTCCGATCCTCCGGGGACTGTGAATTTGGACGCGGTTGCGCTTTTTTGTAAGTACGTGTGTCATGGATCGCTTGTAAGCCGCCTGCCAAACAGTGTGTAACGAGACAGCATCCCCTCTGCATATCCGAGAGTGTGGCAAAGCGATTGCGTGTGTCGTTAGACGCATCTTTGTCGGTCGAGCAGAAACTCGGGACACGATTTTGAGAGAGAATGTTTCAACGTTTCACGGAATAGAAAGAAAACAAATAGAAATCGATAATTCCCAGATGGTGTCACGTATCTGAGTTTCTGCTCACGCGCCACCGCCCGAGATCGTTTCTCGATCCATTGTCGCTAAAGTGATACATTTTTTGGACTTTGTTTCATGCGAACAACAGAAATTGATCGAGGTGTGCATAGCTTTGAAGGTTTGTCTTATTCTTTACAATCGCCCGTTGCCTTTCGTTCGACAGCCCATGCCTCGAGAATCATACATGCGTTATCTCTCCCCTCCCCTCTTTCGTTTCTCTCGCCTCCCACGTTTCCGTGCTCCCTCCGCAACGTGTGTTTCCGTTAGCCTGTTAACCGAGCGATTTCAAGAATAACCGGATATCAAAACTTCACTACGATTCGATGCACGCGAGCTTTCACCAGCGACGATCAGGCTCGACGGTATTAACCCTTACCGGTCCTATGTCTATTGCAACCTCTACCTGTTCTAACGATTTTTTCTATATTCATTCGTAGCATCACAATTGTACCATTTAACACTAGGTTCACGGGCATTGTACAGTTTATTCTATTGTTCCTGGGGAAGTTGATATTCGTTCATTTATATAGGCATAACATGTGCTTCGAATTCTTCTCTTTTTCCAATAAATTATTAATGACAAAGTTGCCGTATCGATCAGAGTTCAGAAAGAAATCATAGGCCAAGGGGTTAAAGGTAACATTCCAGTCACTCCTAAATGTTCTTGAATAAACAAATAGAGCATCGTATTAAACATTGAATGAACTAACGTCGAACCTCAAAGTGAGAAACCAAGAGTACTTCGGACCGCAAAGGGTTAAAGTGAAACGAAGACACAGGGCTTAGCGTGCAATGGTCTAACAATAGACAGGCTAACAGGATATTCTCTGTTAACAGGTTAATAATAGTTCGCTAGACTCTCCGAGTACGTTCATGATAGCCACGCATAACATCGCCGATCCTGCGCTCCCCGCCGATACGTTCGATCATAGAATTAACCCTTTTGGTCCTGCGTGCTCGTGTATGCGCTGCGGAACTAACTGCCCGATGTACGGTGTGTTGCATGTCGCCGGAAGCTTCAGAGCTGAAAGGGTTAATCGCGGCTGACAGTCGGCAACAGTGACTCCGGAATTTCTTCGTGCAAATTGTCGAATCCTGATATAATCGGGAAGAAAGGTCTATCTTTCTAAATGTTAACCCTTTGCACTCGAGGGGCGCCAATCGCCAGCTGATTCGACGCAGCAAACTTATAAAATCTTCAATATTAAAGCATGTGTAACGTATCAACGCATAATCGAAATAAAATAGTTCTATTATAAGCAATCGCGTTAGTTGCGAAAAATGTTAATACTTGGTCAGAAGGTATCGAGTATCTTTCATGAAAAATATCGTCGAGTGCAAAGGGTTAAACACTGGTATCCATTGCGCGTCCTCCAAAGTGACGCGACAAGAAGTGTCACGTAATAATTTCCAAGCTCGTCCGTTGTTCCCGAGTACACGAGCGAATCGCGCGAGTCACTGTTTACTCAAGATAGGAGATAATCTTCTCTGTTGCGTATCGTGCCGTTTGCCGCGCTAACAGCGTGCCATCTTTTGTTTTCCATCATATTCACACTATTTGTAGCGATCCCCTAGAATATGCGATTACCCGTTGCTCAATTGAAAATCATTGCAGAACAACGTGCCTGGATACGGGGACGGAGCGAAGGAGGACTACAGCGATCTGCCTCCGAATCAGCGCAAGAAGCGGCTGCAGCAGAGGCTCGACGAGATCCAGGCGAAGATCCAGCAGGAGACGGCGGCGAGGGACGGTCTGATGAAGATGAAGGGCGTGTACGAACAGAACCCGGCACTGGGCGATCCGATGAGCATAGAAGGACAACTGAATCAGTCGAGCAACAAGCTGGATAAACTCGGCGCGGAGCTGGCAAAGTTCCAAGGTTATCTCGAGGAAGCAATGCGCGCTGGCGTCAGTCTGTCCAGGTGACCTTGCTGAATCTCGTAGGCCCTCGTGCGGTAGAGACACTCCGTTTATTGGAACCTGTTCGACACTCGAGACGCCGGGGGTTGGAAACGGTTATCGGTTCGGAAAACAGTTGCGCCTGCCAGCAGTTCGATCAAGAATCTACCATCTATCTTGCATTATTCAGAGATTCCGATAACAGCAGAACGATGGTAACCCTTTGCACTCCACAAGTTTCTCACCGGAAATATTCAATATTTTCTAATGAGATACAGACGACATTTCCTTAGATTGAATTAAGAAATCTGACATGCATCGAGGAGAACTATTTTCTTTCAATATTTCGTACATTGATGCATTATACGAAGCTTAATGTTAAGTATCAAATTTGATAGTTTCACTGTATGAAATCAATTGGTCGAGTGCAAAGGGTTAACACTAGGTTTACGGAGCGCGTCAATTTGACGCACATTGAATTTTGTAGACATCCTTTGGTAAATGTTTCAAAATCTAAATAGGCGAACTGTTCTAGGAACAATAGAATAAACTGTACAATAAATGCCCGTAAACCTAGCGTTAACACTGCCTACCAGTTGGGTCAGTGACTCGCCTCGGGCCTCTCCTATGCTTTTCTAATTAATCATTGAATCCATTGATTTAATATATGAGTCAATGAAAATCTCGACAAGTGGAACACGGTGGAACTGTTCTTCGCAACAGTTAGTCCCGGAACCGTTTCAACCCCTGATCTCGAGACACGCCGAGTTCACTTGGAGCGTGAAATCATTCATACATCTGTTATAATGACCTTCGTTGTATAATATACAAGTTCTACTTAGTACAGTTGACTGGAAACATTTCTTTATACGATCTTAATGAATCTTACTTCATTTTCAGTCAAACATAACTTCAAAATATACACGCGCTTTTTTAATGACAAAGCAGGGTCTTAAATCTTTTACAAAGCACGCTCATAGCTGATAACTCATATTAAACCTATTTCGGAGTTGCTGGTTACATTAAAAATTGCTCGGAGTGCAAAGGGTTAAACGATTTTGCCCGGTAACATTCGCAAGTACAATACACTCTAAAATAATTCAAGGGGTTCCTACGAATGGAATTCTGCTGATCCGCTTGGCTCGGCACAGTAAACTGTACCGTGTAAAATGTTTCAGCCCGAGTCAAGCGCCAAGGAAGCCCACTAGCAACGGGTCCGCGACCAGGCCATTGAGTTCAAGAAGATCCAGCCATTCGGGCGGAGAGGAGAGCCTCTCGAGATCGGCGTCCGATTCCAGCGTGAGCAACGCGAACGCCAACCAGCCGATACACAAGAAAAGCGCTCCGGGCACGCCGCAGCCCACGCACGGGTAAGCCGTTCAATCGACAGCGTTCGGAATCGCGATCGTCCTCGCTGAAAAAGTCATCGTGCAAGAGAAATAGATTCCTTCGAGTGCAATTCTTTTTCTCTCTCTTCTCTTACACCTCCCTTTGTCTTTCTTGACGCAAGAATTGCGTTGCAGTAATTGCGAGTCTCTTTCTCTCTCTGTCTCACACATTCGCATAAATACACATTTACACGTGCACACAATTTCACTGAGTCTCTCTCTCTCTCTCTCTCTCTCTCTCTCTCTGTATCTCTTTCTGTCTTTAAATTCGTCTAAACACAGATCAGAATTTTTAACTAGACCAATTAGACACGCTTTTCGCTTTACGGTACTGATGCACAGTTCCACGAATAGCCCGGAATCTGGTCTCGGGGAATCGAGGACGTCTCTTCCTGGTAGCGGCGGCGAAGAATATTACGTTGACGAGATCGATGCTCAGCCACCGTTGGGGACGTGTAGAGCTCTCTATCCTTTTGATGGTACGTGCAGTGTAGACGGTTTGTACGCGGTACTGGGTAAAACTTATAGGATCTTACTCGTGTGAGAAATAAAGGGTTCTCTGTGTTAAAGACTGTAACAAGCTTGAACATCCTCTGTTCAGAGGAGTATATTAACCCTTTGCGCTCGAGGGGCGCCTTACAGTCGCCACCTGATTCGACGCAGCAAACTTAGAAAATTTTCTATTCAGTAATTTAACACGTTGAATGCCGTGGGGTCATCGGGTGACCTCCAACAAAATTGAATTACCAGAGTTCGCTCAATTGTATGATGATTATTTAAAAGCATTTCTATATTATACCTTTAGAGAACAAAGAGTTAGAACGAGTAATTGTAACTAAATAAAAACGTTTTACTCAGGACTGTTTCTACGATCAGTATTTGGTGCAGAGGTATATAAATCCTGAATTTCTCTTCAGCCACTAGCGAGGGGTCCATACCGATGTACGACGGTGAGGAGTTGTACATGATCGAGCTGGACCAAGGGGACGGATGGACCCGCGTGCGGCGCATCTCGCAGCCGATCGAGGGCTTCGTACCTACATCTTACATAGAGTGCCACCTCTATAACACTTAGCCACTACTCTTAGGACGTTAAACAATTACGAAGTGGAGAGCCGTGAACGAAGAGATAGGGTGTGGTCTTTGAAACGCTATTTCGGTTCAGTACATTGAACGACAAAGAAATAATTAACGCCGCCGAACGGGGTTTCGCGCTGGAGGGTCTTGTGTTGGTTCGCCGCAGGATTCCCAGGACACTGCTGTGTTACGAATCGCGGGGCCTAAGCGTTGCATTAACGAACGATTTCCGTGCGAAACGTAAACAGTTCTTCTGACGACGACGACGATGATGACGACGATGTGCCAACGGGGTCTAGCTCGTTCGGAGGGATCGCGTGTGAAACGTTTAGTCAATTACGCCCAACACACCTCCCTCCGTTCTCCGTTTCGCCGATCGAGAACGCGAACGTTGAAAAGGAGAACCGGCCCGAGATTCTCCGGTTTGTCATCAGCGAGGCGTTCACGTGGTTCGGCTCAATTCATTCTGAATAGGATATTAAGATCGACCGTCCGACCGAAGGATCGGTCGCGTGCGTGCACACACACCCGAGCGTTGCATACTTCCGAAGTACAGTACAGTTTTCTACGAAGCACACCCTGGTCGTAAACACGATCAACCTTGAAGAAATGTGCCTCTGTACTTTGGTCGTGCACGAGCGAACAATTTGCGAACACTGCTGAAAGAAAGTATAACGTACTTTTCATATACATGTACTATGCGCCCCGCCTATACACACACACACACACACGTGTCACACGGACGACGAATAACCGCGGTTGTTGTGTAATTGCACGATTTTTATCAATACTTTGTTTCCCCTGTGTATCGACTCGATTGTAAAGCAGGCGACTCACGGACGATTCACGCTATCTCCGCCGACGACCAAGAAACCGATCCGTTCTTAGCGCTTTTAACTATTCCTTCCTTCTCTATCTTTTCTTTGTGCAAACGTCGCGAGCCCTGTTCACCGAGCGATCCGAGACACTTCGACCGCTTTCTCATTGAAACTCGGACACGTGAGATATAAGATAGCGGATTATTAAGGATCTTCACTTCTCGGTTTCTAGTTAACCAGCTAAGTGTGGAACTTCGTTTGAAAAACCTCTGATTGCGCGCAATAAAATCAAATGAAGCGTATACTCGTTAAAGGCCAAACTTAAAATATATCCTAACGAGAAACTAGAGCAAAACGAAGAATTACATGTTTGTCTCAAAAAATAACATCGTTGAAAAACTTAGCACCATTAACACAAGCGCCATGTCAGCCACTGGTGACTGACGCTTCCGAATGACTAAAAAAGAATCGTAACATACAAGACAACCGATCTGAAATAAAAATGTTTAATAAGGCAACTAAGTTGATAATAGTGTAACGCAAACGTTGCAAAACAATTCATAATTATTCCTCCTTTTCTTTGCTACAAAAGACAGACTCTATGGGAAAACGCTTAAGATTTTCGTGGCGCTTAACGTGTTAGCTTTAAGATGACGTGTATACTCGTCACTGGTAACTGGTTAACGAAGGAAACCTTTTCGACATGGGAGTTTCGATGAGCGTTTATATGGCAGTCGAAATGTTAAGCGCGGAACACCATGGATCGGTAAGGTAAAGGAACTATCGAAAGAGTTTATTTATTTTTTCGATGAACAGGGCGAGAGAAAAGTACTCATGCATATTAGTATCCGTTTCTTGCCTCTGCCGACGATAGTATGCACTACTTTACAATTCGGTTGAGTCGTTATTGTCTTCTATTGTTGTATTAGTTTATTAATCGATGTCTTCGTTTCTAAACTCGAGATGAGAGAGTGATTGATTAGGTGGTGCTCTGTACAGCAAGTAGACCTCGACGATTTCGTCGACCGAGTTTTGTTTCTACGGATATTGCCTGGATGTGAATTTAGTTAGGATATATATTTCTGTACATACTGCAAAGGGAATATGGGAGGAAGAACGGGAGGAGCGAGTGGTACGCGTGTGAGTGCCAGATTCGATGTACCCTGCGATGGCGTTGAGTCCTTCTTCCGATCAACGAGGACAGGCGCGAGACGGCGGCGTCGGGAACTCCCCTCGTTTCTCTCTTCTTCCGCGAACGCCGCCGTCTCCGCGTGTCTCGGGGGGAGGGGAGTGCTCATCCCTTACGCCGTTACAAAGCCTAGATTCGTCCTAGATTCGATTGCGATGTATCGGAATCGTGTAGT